TAAGCATCAAAGAGTTAAAGCAAGTTACTAAATGTGAAATAGTTCAATATGTACTCACTCTTTTAATGTCTGCATATTTGGAGAGAGAGAGATGGGGAAGCTTCAATTCTGGGTAAAATATAACCAACATATTGTCTTGAGGGTAATTTTGCAAATTAACTAGAATAATTATCTTCCTCAGCTCTCTATTTTTAATTACCTTTTCTTGATAATGAAAGTAAAAACAATACACTAAAAGAGAACTTTGTGAGTGCCAGGACTTGCTTAAACTGTTTCCTACATATGATTCATTTAATGCAACACCACTATGAAACAGGTAACACTGTCTCTGTTTTATAGACAAGGAAAGAGAGAGTAAGTAATACTCTTAAAAAAGACAGTAAGTAAATTCCAAAGTTCCATCTCTATAGTTCAAGCTACATTATGTTGCTTCAGTAGATTCACAGTATAGAAAATCATAAAGCTTGTTGCAGGAAATCTGGAATATGTGGCCAAGTATACAAAGAATATTTGATGTACCCATAATCTCACCACCTAGAAATAAATGAACATTTTGATACAGTGATCATGACAGAATCTCTATAAATATGACATAGCTTTTGTTGTTATCCCAAATGAAAAGCTATGTGATTAATCACCAAATGTGGAGAATATATTTGCAGTAGACTGATTATAGAGTACGACTTAGGCAGAATTTTGGGGGGACCTCAATGGATCACCTCCCAACTTTTAGCAATCATTTAATTTTCATAAGCTAAGGTTGAAGTACATGTACTATGGCTGTCATTTGGAAAATACCTATCATGCATGATAAGATGCCATGAACGAAGAAAACCAAAGGCGACTTCAACTTTGAAACCTGAACTGAAAACCACTAAAGGAGATGTTATGGACTAAAGGTTTTGACTTCTGACCAACTGAAGCAGTGCTCAACATGATTTACAAGTGGGAGGAAATAGGGATCTCTGTATCATCTATCTTTACCTCTCTATCTATCCATCCACCCACCCATTCACCCATCCACATAATTCACATAACAGTACTGTCTTAGGTGGATTGGTACCGGGAAGCAGACCCTGAGATCAAGATTTGAGTGCAACTGGTTTTTGGAAGATTCATCTTTGGAAACACCAATAGAGCACTGGAGAACTGAGAGAGGAAAGGGAAAACAGGTAAGAAAAGGTGTTTTAATGAACACAGGGTGGAGCTCTCCTGCTGGGTACTTCTGAGAGCTTAGTGTGGTAGCCCATGAGAGGTGAGGAATTTGGGATATTTATCCTCCAACTCACAGTCATCATTGGATGAGAGCAGCTCTAGGAGTCATTTACTCCCCAGCATTTCTGGCCTGCCCTGCATACTAACCAAGCAGGTTCCTGTGACTAGTGAAAGCCCTTTAACAGCCACATGGGTTTACAATAAAAAGTGTAGGTGTAGATGTAAATTGTGAGTGACTGATAGGTATGGGCAATGTCAGTATGTGCTATAGTCCTATAGTCAGCCAGTATAAACAACAAATTTGGAGTCATTATATATATACATACACATATACATATATATGTATATACATATATATAGTCTATATATAAGCTATAGTCCTGTAGTCAGCCAGTATAAACTAAAACAAAATTGGAATAATTATATATATATATATATACACATACATACACATATATACATGTATATATATTCATATATATAGTCTATATATATGCTATAGTCCTATGGTCAGCCTATGGTCAGTCCTATGGTCAGTCCTATGGTCGGTATAAACTAAAACAAAATTGGAATCATTATATACACACATATATATATACATATATGTGTGTATGTGTATATATAAACACACACACACACACACATATATATATATATATATACAGAGAGAGAGAGAGTTTTGTATTCTGCTTTTCTCCTACTAAAATGCCAGGAGCATTTCAGGTCCTTACATGTTATTTGAAAAAAACGACTTTTAGTGGTTGCCTATCACATTTTATTTAACTGATTCCTTATTTTTGGACACATAAGTTATTTCTAATTTTGAAGTACTTAGAATAATTCAACAATAAATATTTTCATACACATATTTTTCTCTATATCTCTGGTGCCTTAGGATAAATTAATCAAGGACAATTTTGTTAATTATCTAAAGCAAGGATTACCAATTCCATATCTATAAGAATGCTTGAAATTGATAGAAAACTTAATTTTTTTAAATTCTGATGGGTGTCTCCAGACATAAAAGTGACATAACAACTTAATTTATTTTTATGATGAATCTGCTCTTAGTTTCTATATTCAGTTGTTCTCAAATGATGGGAGATTTTTATACCTTTATTACGGAAACCTTTATTGCTGTCTAGCCAAGGTGGCAAGTTTATCACCATGCCATCGAATGAGCTGATTACTTTCCAGAAGCAGAGGTGAACACCTCCTCTACAAAAAGGTCATTAATAACCTTGCTCTCTTTCTTCACAAACATCACCTCATACAGAAGTGAAGTCGCTCAGTCGTGTCCGACTCTGCGACCCCATGGACTGTAGTCTATAAGGCTCCCCTGTCCATGGACTTTTCCAGGCAAGAGTACTGGAATGGGCTGCCATTTCCTTCTCCAGGGGATCTTCTCGACCCAGGGATCGAACCCGAGTCTCCCACATTGCAGGCAGACGCTTTACTGTCTGAGCCACCAGGGCTTAAGGAAAAATGGTTTGATCCTTAGCATTTTGCATTTTACTTGTTAGAGGGAAAAATACCAAATTCTATTTTCCATTCTCCAACAGTCTGGCATGCTTTCTTTCCTATTGAAATATCTCATGATAGTATCTCATGAAGTATCTCACGATACCATTTGTTCCATCCACTGGCCTTTTAGTTTTCACTTCTTGACTTCTGTGAAGTGCTGAGTGGTATCACTCATGCATGACATATCCCTATTTTCCACACAGCCTACACCTGCCTAGTGGTCCTATCTCTTTTTCTTTTGGCTCTTCTTGTTCTCCCTCAGTTATTCCTCTCCTTCTTCATTTCTTCTACATGTGGACATCATCCATTGCTTAGCCCTGTGTGCCTACTCTTCTATTTCTCTTGATGACCTCTCTTTGTTCAGGACCTGTTTTTCACTCCGTGATTATGACTCTTGGAGCCCCATTTGCAGGCTGCCCTCACTCCTTATATGGGATTTAAACATGAAACTTCTTGATAGAAAATACCTCAAACCTGGCACGATCAAACCCAAATTAATCATCTTCACTTTAAAATGGTCTTCCCTATTATTTTCTCTTTGTCTTTCCTTAACCTCTTCCCCCTATTTAGTCATGATCAGTGGCAATTCTCCTCTCTTCTGCTAGATCCCCTTTGTTGAGCAGTATGCACGCATTGCCTCAGTCATTCGACACAAAAGCCAAGGAGTTCCTCCAGAACCTTCAGACATGTCAGACATTCCTACCCCAACTACCACTGGCATAGGAAACTCTTATTACTAAATTACCAGGCATTCTATGCTTAGTATTTCTCTGCTTTGGACTCTCTTATTAGCTTATTAGAAGAGTATCTACCTGAGCAGAGGTGTTTGTAACTTGTATTACTGTACAGTTCTTAAAAACCATTTAATACATTGGTATAAATGCCACGTCTGTGTGATTCACTGCCTGTGAACCGAGACATTTTTGTTCTGGACCAGGAGAGGTTCACTAGATCGATATATTAAGGATGTGTTCCATGATATATTAATCTTCTGAGATGTTAAGTGAGAAAGGCTTTCTGTGGTCAAATACATTTGAAGAAACATTGTGTTCTTGGTAATTCAAAATGTGTGTTAAAAGGGCAAATTGCTAAGAAGTATTTCTTAAACCTATTTTATCAAATCATTTAATGATTCTCCAGCTCTTTCTCCCCCATCCCTCCTATTCCCCATCCCTTTCCTCTGATTTTCTGTCTCTCTTCCTTTCTTTTCAGAAACATTAAATATCTAGGGCTATGTGGGAAAGATTTTGGAAAACACTGTACTTACCTGTTTAAGAAAGGCTTTTAGGAGCAAATTTTTACCTTTCTCTGTATTTCCAGAGCCAGCACTGTATCTGGCACAAAATGACTGTTTAACAAATGTCTGCTAACTTGAAGTGCACACAGGTGAGTATATTAATAAGAAGCCAAAATATTATGTTGAAAGTTGTTCTCAAAAATCACACCAGTTTTTTGGTACCAAGCATTTGGTAGTTTTACAGAACGAATCATTTAAATTTTTATTTCAATTAATCCACTTTGAATCATAACCACAAGATGTCTGACTCGAGACAAATTTTGGTAGGTATATAGCCATTATTTTATAGACAGGTCTTATCTTTCATCATGAATTTATATAGAGGTTGAAAGAATTATCTCAAGCAACTTAAGTATAGGAATAGAGATGTGAGCTCTGGGCATACCCTGGGCAGGCTCAAACACTGACTGCCACTTACTGGCCAAGGGAAGGTGGGAAAATGTACCTGCACCTCAGTTTCCTCATGTGAAATGGTGATGATACCTGTACTCCCCTTACAAGGTCATTGTGATGACTTAATGAGATTAAACAGGTGAAAAGCTAAGCACAATGTCTGGCATATGGAAATACTATTAGCTATTAATACCATTAAACAGATTATCAGCCAGGATTGCATAGTTGATATGAAATGAAAGGTGACCACACAATTTTAGATAACTCATGAAAATATGGATGGGGAGGAAGGAATTGTGTAATTGAGGTCTCCATATTGGTAAGACTCCAACATTGGGCCATTTGTAGCAGTTTGGGTTGCGGAGAAGAGTTCATTTTGGTTTGAAGCTACAACTCCCAGAGAATAACTTTTCCCAGGGTAGGATGGGCATTTTACTTATTTGGACATTTTGTAGGCTCAGGGAGAATCCTTTCTTTTACCCAGAAATTCCTGGGAGATTGCACCTTTTTTAAAAGAAACCAAGAAGGAAGAAAGTTCCCTGCCTCTCTGTAAGAGGGCACCATTCCCTACCTGAATGGGTAGGCAAACGCCACGTCAATGCTGAGGTCACTTTCCGTCTTGTTGGCACAGTCCACACTCAGCCGCAGGCCTCCAGAATAGCCACCACATGTTGCAAATGCAAAGATTGCAAAAAGCTGGGGAGAACAAAGAATAGAGAAGGCAGCTATTAGAATGGTGTTGATCTCATGAAATATGCCAATAGGATGTTAGTGTCTACATTGAGAGAGGTTAGGATGACAATTATGGCCATCCAAGTATGGCATCATATATGGTTTAAGCTGGAATGAAGGCCAGGATGATGATGGAGAGTGGGATGGTTGGGTGCAAAAAATTGCCTGGAAAGCTGGAGTAATTTTGCTTGTGGAAAAATTAAATACAAGGACAAAATATCTGCATTTGAGATCAAATATCTGTGTAAAGATGATTAGACAGTATCACCGACTCAACGGACATGAACTTGAGCAAACTTCAGAAGATAGTGAAGGACAGGAAAGCCCGGTCTGCTGCAGTCCATGGGGTCGCAAAGAGTCAGACACAACTTAGTGACTGAACAACAGCATCTGTGTAAAGAACTGTCACACTACAGAAGGTAGAGATGTAATCTTACATCAAAGTCTCTGGAAAGCTACACACTGAGGGATTAATGATGGATATCTCCATGTGGGAAGAATTTCAGATGTTTCCTTGCTTCCTTCTTTTTGGTTATCTGTATTTTCTGCAAAACACATGTTTTGTCTTTTGGAATAATAAAGATTTTTTAAAATGCACAAAGAATTTTAGGGTTGATGGGTGGAAGAAGTGGAGATTACCTAAAATGTGCTATTTTGGAGCACAACATCTCTGTATATGTCAACCTCAAAGCATCCTTGGTGGTTTCATCTCTGTCTTACTTGCTCTTTCTAGAGGCAACTATTAAAAGGTTCAACTGATGACCAACTAATGTTAGTCTATCCTAGCATAAAACATGCATCTATGGTAATCAGGCAGTGAAAATTAGAAGCAGGAACTCAAAGAAGTCTTCCAGAGAAAGAAGATATACCTGGGAGGGTGAGAATGCCCTAAGATGGGAAGAAAACAAATACCAATCTTTGCCCACTTAGTTTGGCTAACTTCAAAAGAATGTCCTGCTTATCTCTGTAATACATCCAGTTATTTTAACTTTGGAATTCACCTTCTTCTAGTAGCTTGGGTTCCCTTTAGCAACACCAGCTCACTTTGCATAGTGAGAGGAATTACTGTGTAAGGGTTTTGTAGTCTAACATGTGATCTATCCTGAAGAATATTCTTAAGTGTATATGAGAAAAGTGTGTATCCTGTTCTTTGGGGATGGAATAATCTGTATTTGTACATTAAATCAATATGCTATAATGTGTCATTTAAGACCAATGTTTTCTTATTGATTTTCTGTCTGGATGATCTCTCCATTGACATAAAAGGGGTGTTAAAGTCCCCTACAATTATTGTATTGCTGTCAATTTCTCCTTGTCTGTTATTATTTGCTTTATTTTTGATCATTTTCATTATTATGTAATGCCTTTCTTTGTCCCCTTTTACAGTCTTTGTTTTAAAGTCTATTTTATCTGATATAATTATTGATAGTCCAGCGTTCCTTCTGTTCCCACTTGCGTAGAATATCTTCTCCCATTCCTTCATTTTCTGTGTGTATCTTTAACTCTGAAGTGGCTTCGAGGCCCAAGTGGGCTATTGTGGGTTTGCTGGCGTGTGGGACTGGACCCCTGGAGCAGGAGGCACCTTGGAGGGGTGCCAGTGTCAGACGGCAGTGCCTGTTGGCGGAACGTGACAGCAGCTGCTTTGGAGGAGCCAGCTGGGGCAGTGGGATGGGCAGGGAAGGCCCTCAGGGATATGCCAGCTTGGTGCACATGGCATTAGCTCAGCTGATGGAGTGACAGAAGCGGTCCTCACCAGTGCTGGGTCCACTAGGTAGAAGGAAAGTGTTGTTTTTTTTTTTTTTTTAATGGCACCTGCCAGTGTTTCTGTTCTGGAGAAAGTTCCACCAGATCTCTATCCCTCCAGCACATGTCCTAAATTTAGTCAGTGAATCTCTTTCTCCCATGACACAGGTGCTTTTTAAGCTGCTGTCTCTGTGCTGAGACTTTGAGCAGTGAGCATGTGTGTGCGTACTCTCCAAGAACAAAGTCTCGGTTTCTAACAGCCCTCCAGCTGTCCTGGACATAAGCCCCTCTGGCTTCCAAAGTCAGATGTTACAGAGGCTCGTCTTCCTGGTGCAGGTCCCCCAAGCTGAGGAGCCCAATGTGGGGCTCAAGGCCCTTGTTCCACAGAGGAGACTGCCATGGCTGTGATAGTCCTCCCTCTGTGGGTAGGTTCTCACTAGATCATGCTTCTGTTCTTTTGGCCCAACTTGATGTGGCCTTTTCCTTATAGATTCTTAGTTTTACAAAACCTGTTCTACTAGACTTCGGGTCATTCTCAGTGACAGTTGTTCTGTAGGTAGTCCTAGATTTTGTGTATCTGTGGGAGATGAACTCAGGATTTTCCTACCCTGTTATCTTGATCCAGAATCCACCAAGTTATTGGTTTTTAAATCCAGTAATTTAAAATAGAAACAATTTACCAAATGATATTACAGACAAAGTAAAAGTAAAATGTGTTTATCTGTGTTAATGTGTGTAAAACACTTAGAACAGATCCTGGCACAGAAAAAGCACTCAATAAATGTGAACAAGAGTTATTACTCTAAATAAATGTGTATGAGATTTTGGTAAGATCTTGCAGGACATAAAATAGGAAGTTTCGACTTCCTCCCTAGCTAAATCTATATGACCATCAGCCCCAGTGAACCAACATACAAGCACTCCAGAAAACCTTATCTTTTTCCTTTGTTAGATTTCCTTCCTAGTTTATATCACTGATGGGACTTGTGGAGACATTTAGAAGGTACTCCAACCCATCGTGAAATCTGAGAATGATATACATAGAACACCAAGGCTGACAGGACTCGGATCTGTATCCCTCTGATATGGATTTGCTCATGACCAAATGTTCTCTTTCTGTCAGCTCTTAGAATTGGTAGGAATAAGGAGGACATGATTTTAAATGTCAATGCTTAAATCTAGGTTTCATCATACAATACTGCACGGCACAGTCCTTTGTGCCATGCCATGATAGCATCTTTAGTATGATTTTTTCCAAAAGACAGAATGGAGTGGCAGGATCCAGAACCCTGGGGTAGGATGTGGAGATCGCCCTTTCCTCATATGTACAACAGAAGCATCCTCTGTGTCCTCCCAAATCACTGAAAGAAGAAAATGAGATGGAGTATGTATCTATGTGCAGTCTTCTCTGAATCCATGCAGATTTGTGTGGTATTTACACATGTGTACTTCTCTCGGGCAAGAGTCCTCAGTGCATAATCAACGCTTGTACATGAAAAGGTTAGGAGGAATTATCTGTTGTTGGCTTTATTAAGTACCTACAATGGGCTAGCTATCGTGTCCAGCACTTAACATATGTGACCATATTTCCTTTTGACAACAACAGTTTGTGTGTGAAGCTTAATAATCCTATATTAAAAGTGTGGCAGGATAGCATAAGGATTTCAAACAGTAGTATTCTTTAAAATCCCCTGTAACATTAAACTGGAGTGATTTAGAGGTAAAAGACCCAAAGATAAATCCTTTAAATTCAGGGCTTAATGGCTGCAAAGAAACTACTTTTGGCTTTTCATCTTATATTAAAGCGCGTTACATACAGTAAAATATTATTAATACTACCATGCAGTGAACTTAAGATGGAAAAATAATTATGTATTAAAATTACATATTTAGCTCAAAATATTTGATGTGTAGAGGAAGGCATCAGAGTATTGAAACCACACACACCACTACTTTTTCTTTTAACGTCTATCGAGCTCTGAAAACATAAGACATTGAACTTCAGTTAAATATGATACCTATGGGCTTTCTCGTTACCTTGCATTACCCACAGTCCTCACTGTTTAAAGAGAAATCATACTGTGTGACTGATACGAAACTCATGTGGGGTTGGTGAGGATTAAACAGATAATGTCTGTACAACACTGGAAGAGTCAGGTCCTGCTGAGTGAATAACATTATAGGGATAGTTTGGAAAGTGAAATATCTGGGAGAGTGAAATTAACTCTTTCACAGTGTATCAGCTAGGAACCTGGTCCTGTAATCAGGACAGAGTGAGGAGAGGGAAATGGAAGTCCTTTAGGGATCTGAAATTCTCTTAGCGTTGCAGAGAAATGTAGAGTCAGATGGAACTTTGGAAATCTTAGCAGTTGGAAGTCCACCCAACAACTCCACCCTAGGTGGTAGACGGGAGCAGTTCCAGAGTCAGGCAGACCTGAACCTGAGTTCAATTTCTAGCTGCCTGACACTGAGTAAGATACTTAACTTTTCCCAACCTTATTCCTATATCCACTAAATCAGGACTAATTCACTGGCTCATTCAGCAGCTGTTTAATGGTGTATTTACCAGCTGCCAGATGGTGGGAAACAGAAAGGTAAAAAGTTAGAGAAAAGACAAAGAAAAAGTAGGTCCCTGCCTACTCTGAAGTTTAATGCTGGATAGGGGTTGGGACAGAATTAAAAGAATATACAAATAACATAATTACAAATTGTGTCCTGGGGGACATCTTCCAGACCAGGGCGTTATATCTGAGGATGTCACATTTATGCTAAGACCTTGAAGACAAAAGTGAGAAAGCCACAGGCGATGGAGGGTGGTGTGGAGAGAACCCCCGGGATTGCGGGCACAGCGTAAGTGACAGCGCTAAGCAAGCAAAGGCTTGACAAGTCCAAGGAGCCAATGGAAGGCCAACGTGGCAGCTGGACAGTGAGTTGAGGTTGACAGTAATTTACCTCACGTGGATTTGTGTACGTCAACTGAGAGAACACACGCAAAGCATCAGGCTCAGAGTTCTCAATAAACCATTAGAGTGTGTCCCTCCTCTTCCTTCTCCTTCCCCTCCCCTCCCCTATCACCACACTACTGAAGAAATTAAGAACTAGAGAAGAAAATCCATTTGCCTTTAACTCAGCAAGAGCAGAGTTGGAACTAGAATCCTGGTGTGTAAATTCCCTCAGTCAGCAGTCTTCTAATTAGCTCTAGAATAACAGGAGGAACAATT